GGTTTAAGTTTGAGCCCCAGACCGAGAGCAGCTGTGTGTATGTGTGTGTGAGCAAGCGTGTGTGCCTCCACAATGAAACATTTATTCGTATTAGTTTGTGATAACAAGTCGAGGCATTACTTAGGACTTACCCCCACCAGCATTTCACCTCCGTGTCCATCACTCAAACCATTTGTGAACACATTGATCCTTCCCTCCCCCTCCCCCCATCCCCTCCTCCTCTCCCATGCTGTATATTCCCAGGGTTTGGAAGGAGAGCCAGAATGGCTCAGACAGCAATTGATTTTTATTTTATTGGTCTACTAGTGGAAAGAGGTGGGATAGGGGAGGGCCTGAGAGATACAACTCCGCAGCTAAGTTTGCTCTTAGTGGGCTGTGTGTGTGTGTTGTGTGTGTGTGTGCCTCTGTCTGTGTGTGTTAAATGTGTAGGTGTGTGTGTGCGCGTTCTCGAATTCTGCTGTAAAAATGTTTTGTTATATGTAGGTGTGTCTGTGTTGTAGTGGGTCTGTGTGTGCTGTGTGTGTGTAGTGTGTGTGTGTGTGTGTCTGTGTGTGTGTGTGTGTGTGTGTGTGTGTGTGTGTGTGTTCATGTCCAGCCACCTCTGTGAGCCATCAAAAGCTGCATGTCTGTGTTCACATGTGTCACTACACACACACACACACACACAGTGAGGTTACGCACAGGAGTGTCATTAGGTATTGGGGAGATCTAGTGCTGATGGATGGCCGCTAGGGACTTGGACCTCAACACACACACACACACACCCTCTCTCACACACACCACACACACACACACACACACCACACACACACACACACACCACACACCACACCACACCACACACATAGCTGAGGTGTATCCCGGTGCTCATTAGAGCTGGTAATAAGGCTGTGCTGCTGGAAAAGGAGGGGAAAAAACAGGGAAAGGAAGAGAGGGAGGGAGGAAGAGGGTGGGAAGGGAGAAAAAGGAAAAAAAAAAAAAGGGAGATTTTAAATTTTAATAACACTGGTACGATTTTGTAAATCTTTCCTGACAGAAAAGTCCTCATTATTTTCATCTGTCTCCGAGGAGCCTCTCCAGCTTTACCTCCCCGGGTAAACGGACCTTTCGCGCTCTCCCTCTTTCTCCTCTTTCTCTCCACCTCTCTATTGCTTTTTCCACACTTTCTGTCTTTCAGCTGCTTTGTTGTCTGTTTCCGATCTTTGTGACTCTCTCTCTCTCTCTCTCTGAATATTTCAGCCTCTCTTAGATTAGTGCTGTAAATCTGTTTATTTCCTTTTAGTAAGGTGTTAGCTGACTGGCTGTCTGCGATGAAGGAACATAAGGAGCCAATAGCATTTCCAGTACTATGTGCTGTGATTGGCTGACATTTTAGTTAGAGTTACTGTTGGTCTGTTTTCGTGAGAGTGTTTCTTTTTTCCCCCCCACCGGTACGGGGCACCGACACAGGAAAATACTTGAGGATCATAGTATCAGGTATCAAACTTACTGTGTGTAGGAGTGTGCATATGTGGGTCAGCAGATACACCCTTGTACCTGCGGTCTTTGCGTCACTCACACATCCCCAAATCCTTCCCTCCACTTACACGCGCACACACACACTCTCACTCCTAGCCCCCCTCCACCTCTATGTCAAGTGTCAAAACTGGAGGATGGATCCGGTTTGATAAGTTCTGTTCTGTCTGGCCACGTGTCAGGGCGGGATCAACTATATAGCAGAGGAAAACCATGTTCTTCACTCTCCTACCTCCCAGTTTTGGGGATTTTTTTTTTTTACTTCTCTTTTTTGGGAGTATTGGGGTGTGGATATTTTTAGGGTAGATTTTATTGTAGTTGTTTCTGGTAGCTTTAGTACCTTATTTGACTTGTTAGCTTATTATAAAAGGAAAAAAAAACAAAGAAAAAAATAGTTTGACGTATGAAATTTCATCAGTTTGTGTGGTTTTGTTTCAAATGGATGAAGAATAATTTCCCCATCCTCTGTAAAATGTAACCAAGTAGTCATTTTCCAGCCTTCTTAGGTCTGCAGTGGTTAAAGAGTGTGATGGCTGACTTTCATGTCCCACTGCTCATATGTCAGTGGGGAAAACTGTGGCTCTTTACAGTGTCACAGACACTATTTTTCAAACAGTTTTCAACATCAGTGAAGTGATTTATGACGGCACCTCCACACACTAATTCCTCCAATCTGTCTAGCTAGATCTGTGTGTGTGTGTGTGTGTGTGTGTGTGCGCGACCCCCCTTCAGGTCATCTGGTCTAAATTGACCTTTGGTCGTAAGCTTTGCAGGATCTTCTCGGTCTGTGTGAACTATTGCAAGCATTAAAGTAAAGATGTACTGTTTATGGCTCCCCCCCCCCCTCCAAGTTTCTGATTGGCTGCCTCTTGCAAACAGAAGCACCTGAGGTTAAAATATTGCTCTATGACATCAGAAAGATTTGAGTGGAAAAAAAACTTGCCTAAAACCAAATATTGAGAGCAGTGTGATGCCCGAGCTTTTAGCTTTCACATGTGCTGACCTAATTATTTGAAACTTTGACCTCACCATGTTTATATACAACGTGCAATTTCATAGTGTATCTATTTGCGTGTGTGTGTGTGTGTGTGTGTGTGTGTGTGTGTGTGTGGTGTGTGTGTGTGTGTGTGTCAGAAAAAAGTGCCTGAGAAAAACATTAAGTTTGAGACGGCCACTCCTAAAATTTATATCCATCTTCTCTTTAAAGGTTGGAGTTGCCATATGTGTGCTAAAGCTCATATTAAAATAAGCATTTTTTTATCACTTGTTAAGCACCCCATAAAGACATGTTTTGTTAGATTGGTGCACAGAGGATCAGTTAAGGTCAAAATAATGCATTTTTAAAAAAAGATGTGTCCCCAGAGGGGGGAGGGAAAAAAACTTCTTAAACCGCAGCACTGTCATATTCCTTACTGCTTTGAACATTTAAGTGTTTGAAGTTATTCCACGTTGTTTGCTACCAAATCAGACTCCTTTAATAAATGCCGTTTTAACAGAATTGAACCCCCTCCATGAGGCTAAAACAAACTTTATGTTCATTTCTCCACAGCAAGCCTCTACTAGCCCCCCCCCCTCCCTTTTTTTTTCTTCTTTTCACCCCAGCTGAAAAATTAGCACAACACACAAACAGCTGTTTCTACACACTGCACAACACACCGCCCCCAACACAAACAGTCTCTCAACACACACCACCACACACACACACCACCACACACACACACACACACACACACACACACGCACACGCACGCACGCACACACACACACACACACACACACACAAGCGCCTCCTCTGGGTATTTGACTGGGATAAATAATCATTGTAAATAATGAATGTCAATTAATAGGGGGAGACGTGTCCTTGCTAAGCATGCTCTGATTAGTGTTTCACTGGGATCTCTTCCCCCAGCTGGCTTCAGCCAATCATGTCAGCCTCATCCAAAACACCAGAATAAAACTGGCCTATCACAACATATGATATCATCTAATACTGCCTCAGCTTATAGGCATATGGCAAATATAGTATTATCTGTCACTATTCTTTTTACAATTTTTTTTTTTTACCTCAGCAGTGAGGTAAAAAATGCCACGTGTGGGTGTGTGTGGGGTGGGGGAGGGATACCATAGCTGTTGCTTACGTTGTTCGGGACATGGTTTGCTATAAACAATATGACAGTGTCATAATAATGTATGCATTTATTCAAGGATAAACTGTCTACTTATAAAGCAGTGCTGCTTACACACAATAGTTGTAATGAGCTCTCTGGTGTTAGCGAGAGCATTACAGCATGTCAGAGAAGTGTCCTATTACTGGAAAGAAGTTCATGGCGATTGGTTATATATTGTTTTTAGTTTGTAACAGTATCCTCTGAATCTCATATAAAGCAGTTGATAAAATTTGTTGTTATGCGGCAAAAGGAAATACAAAGATGTAAAGCATCAAAGCTTGTCTGTGGGATTTTTGTCATCCTTCCCTTCAATAGCTTCATCAGTTCTGCGCTTTAAGCTAAGCAAACGGTCGAGACTTTTGCCAGGCGGGCTGGTGGACCAGAAGGAGGCCGCGAGCTCCACTGGTGTGTCAGCTCAGACTTGGAGTTTAGAGGGTAGCTGGGTGACTGAGCAACCAGCCAGCGCCCTCCCCTCCCTCAGTGATAAATGGCCACAGCATGGGCTATTCATCTCCTGCTTAGAGAAGTGGACAGTGCCCCCCTGCTCGGCCTCTCCTCCACCCCTCCACATGTCAGCAAATGTGATAATTCTCTCATTTGTCAGGAGCAGTGGAGGGTTTGGAATCCGTGTGTGTGTCTGAGTGAGTGCATGTGTGCTGATGCAAACTCTGGAGAATTTGGGGGACACATGCTAGATAAGTTGCTCACTTACCAGATGCCTTGCTCTGCACATCTTCACTCCATTCCTCATCTGGTACTTTTGTGATTTATTTATTTATTTATTTTTTGGGGGGGAGGGTTCAAAGCCCCCACTCCCCCACACCAACTTTACTTCGGTCACAGTGGGAAAATTTAAATGAGCAAATGAGTGAGTCGTTTTATGGCAAATTCCATCAGTAATTCAGCGATTTTTTTTTTTATTACCTTCAGGAAACTACTGAGCCACTTTTTCCACTTTATTGTGCAAATAAAGTTTAAGAGCCTGTCAGCTATGTGTGTGCGTGTGTGTATGTGTTTGCATGTCATGCTTGTTTATAAGTGTGTTGGTCTCTTTTGCATTTGTATGTTCATGTCTGTACACAAATCAGCGTTGTTGTTTTTTACAGAGGGTACACATATGTAAGCAAATCACTCTTATCACGATTGTTTTATCCAGTCACGCTGTGGTTTTATGACGTGTGCCAGCGAGTGTATAGCGATTAAAAACCGAGCGTTCAGACCTCATGGTAACAATTAAACAGGATCAGGCTCCAGTTGACTTTCCTCCGTAGACCCGCGAACCTTTTCCTAATCCTTCTCGGTTCTTTCTCTCTGCAGGATCATCCAGAATCGGGTCCTGGTCTTCATCCTCGGAGCCATCATCCTCCTCACCATCATCCTGGCCATCTATTTTAATGTGCGAGGCCACTGATCTCCCCTGTACGCACATGCATATATACACACACACACACGCTCCCTCCCCCTAAACGCAAATACACACACACTCTCTTGTGATTAATAGCGACAAAAGCGTTGTTCTGCTGTAATTAGGACAAATGGTCCCCATGAATCACTATTTCCAAAGCCTGACAGCAAGCTTTTTTTTTTTTTTTTACCATTTCTCACTCCTTTTTTTGTTTGCAGTTTCTTTCCCTTTTTTCCCCCGTTCTCCTTCTTCCCTTTTACTCTCTTTTTCTCTTTCACTTTCTTCTTCTCCTTCCCCCCTCCTCCTCTGCCTGTCAGGCTCGTTCTTACATCTCCAGGGACTAGAACGGGGTGAGATGTTTTTATAATAGTTAATATTTTTCATGGTGTCGTCCTCAGCGTGGTTTGCAACCTGGTCATATTTTTTTCTTGTGTAACTTAATGGAGGGCTTTTTTTGTAGTGTAGGTGGGTTTGGTGTTATTCAGGGTGTGGGGATGCATGAAAGGCAGAGAGAAACCGAAGTTCTACACACATCTGTGGGTTTGCACGTGTGCATGCATGAGTGACAGTCATGGATGGGGGCCCGCACTGCGTTTCTTATTGACACCAACAGTAGGCACACATACTGTATTAGCTTCTGTAACTAAATGATTCAGCTGTTCTTCTCCCCACCAATCACCCTACCCCTGCACAGCTCAGAGGACAGTGCCTTCAGTTTAGATATGCTGTTCACACTCCTGCTTTAAAAGGCTCAGCAGAGCCCAAAATAGACAAGTGGCGCTGCCTTGAAAAGAGAGGATGCATGCAAAAAGGTTGAGGTTAGTTCAGCTTGTGTTCATTGAATCAAGGTGAAAGTATTTTGGGTTGGTTTTTTTTCATTATTAGGAGGAAACTAGTTGCAGTTTTTGTTTTCAGGAGCAAAAAAGTGGTTATTTTGGAGAATTTAGAGATTGAAGAATATTAAATAAAAATTGCTCTTTTAATGGATTTTAATGCAAAAGAGACCTGACCTCAGCCTCCGTGAGTACAGCACAGAAACAAAGAGAAATGCTCCAAATGACATTGTAACCACATCTGGGACATCAACCCTTCCCAAATACATACTTCATTAACTGATTCCCAATTATAAGCGTCATACTGTATGTACTAACATTGAAATGGACATCATGTATAGTGTTTTTGCTCTTACTAAGTGACTCTGTTGCTATTTATTTATAAATGTAGAGTTTCCATTCAGATTTCTGTGTTGGAAGTGTATATTTTTGTGATGTTGAAATTATTCAGAATTAACATTAATCACATGTTTGTTTCTTCTTGATTTGTGGTGGTTCTCTGATGCAGACTGTACACCAGGACCAACTGAAATATGTGTATTTCTAGTCTTTCATCTTAAAGGCTTTTTTTTTCTTGATTTCTTTCTTCTATAAATGGATCTAGCTTGTTTCAAAATTTGTACTTTTTGTTCTTTATTTTCTATGTAATCTTCGGAGGTGTGAGATGGGACCCTTGTTTCTGTGTTTGTGATGATGTGATGCATCTGCAGGTGTTTGAAAAAAGGCGTGCTTGAGTTTACCGGCGTTTAATTCTTCGGGGGGAAAGCCATTCTTTGGGGACGGCGTTTGAAAAATCTAAATTTAAGAGCATATTTGGATCATTTTTAATTTTATTTTTGTTTGGAGGGGGGGGGGCTAATGCTAATGCAAGCCACAAGCTCGCACACGCATGGAAACACACGCATGGAAACACACACTGGTGCGCGCGCGTATGTCTCTTGTGGTTGGTGTTCCCAGTGAGGGCATTTGCTATTCTGTTTCAGGGTCATAGTCTTCATTTTTGAAGATGCGGGGGAGTCCCCATCCCACCATCCCACCCCACCCCGTGCTATCGTCCACCATTTCACAGGCCCTCACCAGCCGCGGCGCCATGGTCTGCTTCAAAGCCTCAAATTAATGGCCAACAAAATAGTGTGTCTCTGACCGTCCCATGCGGGGCCGACCCACTAAGAGTTATCATTAAAGTGAAGCAATAATGAATAAAACGAAGGAAGGAAGGAAAAAAGAAGAAGAAGAGCCGGGGAAGGAAGCGAACGAGGAAGCGTGGAGGTGGGGGGTGCCGAGGGGGGGGTTAAATCCCAGGCAGTTTGACAACAAACCTCATCTGGTAATGACCCTCAGTGATTGTGTTTTTACCCAGTCAGCGTGCACAGTGTGTGTCTGTGCGTGTCTGCATGTTCAGCCTACCTATGTGCTGATGTGCTCTCTCTGTCTCTCCTGCCCCCCTCCCTCCTTCTCTCTACCTCTCCTGCCACCTTTTCCTCCTCCTCCCTGTCCTCCCCTCCCTTCCCTCCCCTCCCAGCCTGTCAGATGAGCGGAGCGGTAGCTAGCGAGTGAGCGGTGGAAGGCAGCGTGGCGGCGGCTTCTATTTGAAGTTGTAATGGTGTCAAAAAGTCAGGGCTGACTGACAGACGTCAGTCCCACAGGGCCTCATTAAAAACAGACCCACTTGACAAGGAAATAATTGAGCGCCGGCGACAACTCGGGGGCCCCTCCGCGTTTTTAGATGTTTTTATTTTCTTTTCATTATTAGCGCCGAGCTATTATGTTCATTAAGAAATGGCATTAAAACAAGTTTTTTTCTTCTTCTTCTTTTTTTTTTTTTAAAAAAACGGGCGAGGGAGGGAGCAGGGAAGGAAGACAGGATGCATGGAGGTGGGAGATAACGATTTGTTTAGAGCCCCGGTTCTGTTTTATTATTTAAACAGGAGCGCTGTCATGTGATACCTTGGCAGACGTTGGCTATCATCTCTCCCTTCTTTCTCCTTTCCTCCCTCTCTTTCTTTCCCCCCCTCCTTCTCTCCTCTGTACTCATCCCTTACTTTTCCCCAAGCTTTTATCTTCCCCTCCTCGGTCCGTCTACATCTCTTTCTCCACCTGCTCTCTCTATCCCCTTTTCTTTCTCTCCCCGTTGAGCGGCGGGTGTCATTGGAATATGAACTAGATTATTCATCAGTGCCCCCACCACCCACTACCACCCCACGCCCCACTACCACTCCCTCCAATCGCTGATTTGGTTTTCGACAAGCGTCTCACCGCAGAAGGCTGAGGATGAAAACTTGTCAAAAATAGGTTATATCTTATTCCAAGGGGCAACAATAGCAGCAGGTACAGACACCATTTAATATTTAATTTAGGCGGGTGGTAACCCTCCTTAAGTGACTGGAGCTGCGTCTTCCATACAAACGCCAGGAGAAAAGGAGGGGTGGGTGAGCAAGAGGGGAGAGCAATTAATTATTTGATGTCTGAAAAGTGATTTTTGAAGCTCTCGCTGCCTTCTCCTGTTTGCCAGGGGGGGAAAAAAGGGATCGAGTCTTTGGGTGTCCCGGTTCGCTTTCCACACACGTTCCTTATCTTGGTCGCCCCCCCGAGAGCCGAAACATTTCCACTCGTATCACGTTACATCCACATGATAATTGTTCATATAGTAAAAGGTTTTCAGTCTCTTTATGTTATCAGTGGAAATTATGAAATCTTCTACCACCACCATCTTTGCGACATCTCGCTAACGTTCCCAGTCATTCCTATCCTCACCGGTCCTCTCTATCCTCTCTACGTGGTTTTACATAGAAATTATAAAAGGAAGGTTCCTCAACAAGGAACCTGTGTGATGCACCAACCATTGCAAAAGCCCGATGTTTGTCAGCCATTTAAGACGACAAGGGATTGTGACAAGCGTCGTTTGAGCTGCCTGTCCCCCCAGCGGAGGGCGGGCCTTAAACGGCACAAACAGCGCCAGTGGTGGGATCGCAACAGGAGGGTGGGCGCTTCGTCTTCAGGAGTGTCCACGATGCTGTCACCCACTGCACACGCAGACACACAGACACACACAAACACACATTCATGTACATTGAGAGAGGCCCAGCAAGAACAGCTAGCCAAGAAAAAGAAGAATGGGGGGGGGGGAATCACAATGGCACTGTTTGAGGAGTACAATGAATATTCTTCTGTTTGATTCAGCAGACGTGGACGCATATGCGCACGCACACACACTGCTGCACGTATGGTCCCAATAAAGACAGGCACACACGCTCTAGTGTGGAGCTGTTAGAAGAGGAGCCATGGTCTCCATTTGTACATGCCACCAGTTCCAGCAGAATGGCTTTCTTTCTCTCATCAGCCCATTATCTATCTGTTTTTTCGCCCCATCAGCGCTGTCAACCGTTTTATTAGTGTTTGTGCTCACAATGAAATGACAAGGGCCCCCATTATTTGAGGAAGTCGCAGGGGCCGCAGCCATACATGCATGCACGGATGTCCGCGTGCTCGTGGCCGGTGTTAAGAGGTGATGCCGAATCGTCCACATGCGCATGTATCCGTCTCGAGTTATCACGTTCCCTTCAGTTCAGCCAATTGAGACTCCGGGCTGATCCTGACTTGTGAAGCTGACTTTTTTTTTTGTGATCTCTGTCAGTGTCTGTGTTTGACATCTGTGATTAAAGCGGCTCTGGATCTTTGTAACCTAGATGCTGTGTCGTAACTTGCACACAAACACTTGGTGGGGTCTCCGACTGACTCCGCGGGAACGAGTAAGGAGGTACGGGAAAAACAAGAGCTGACATTTACAAACCGAATGTGGCGCTGTGTGCTTCCTTTCGTATTTTAAAGGTGAAGCAAGCCGTGTGCTGAAAATCCTCTTAAGACATTGTGTCGTGGAGGAAACAGAGATGCAGAGCCAGACCAGCTTTCTCCCACCACCACCAGACCCTATCCCTGCCTCCTTACTCTTCCTTCCCTCTATCTCCATCACATCTTTCCCGGTAGAAACACAACCTTTGAACTGAAATTAACACTTTCCACTACAAAGACAGCGGTAATCTTCAACGTCATTTGCATGACAATGAGGTTATGTAGATAATAGAGCTGTCAGTGGATCTTTTTCCCCCCACTTTTTATTCTTTTGGTCCCTTTAACTGCCTCATCAGTATGCTACAATGTGTCCAAGCAGATATTTTATGACATGCTGGAGATTATTCTATTTATGTTTTATGTTAAATGGATTTCTATCATTGCAATTGAGCAGTGAGAATGAGCGCATTCTGCGACTGCTGCGCGTTTGTCTTGTATGGTTTCTCCTGTGTTGCCGTCCATTTTAAAAAGACAAATGATAGAAAGAGAAAGAACATAAAAGGAGAAAAGTGGGAATGAGTGCAAAGCAGCCCAGGTTGCCTGGGAGGCACTCAGTGGCCTGGACGTTCTGAAAGAGGAGGGTTTAGTTGAGCTCGCCCTTGTACAGTAATTTACTTTGCATATGGTGTCTTAGCAGACACGATTCTAAATTTCCAACTGGGAGGCATCAGTGGAGGAATCACTGTCTTCAAAAGACGGCCTGCCAGTCACGCTCCTCCCGTAGCTAGAGATCTGAGCGTGCGGTGATAACCCGCGACATCTTTCTGGAAAAACGAGGAGTCGATCAGCTTTGATGGAGCACATCCGCCATGACAGGCTACTGAGGAGCTCGCTAATGAACTGGGGAAGGGGGGTGGGCATCGCTTAGGGTAAGAGCACAGAGGAGAAGGGTAGTTGAGTGGGGAATGGATGGATTGATGGATGGAGAAGGTGTACTTGATAGTTATGAGGTAGCCTCTGCTTTAAGATATTCAGGTAGATGGAAGAGTGCCCAGGTTAGAGAAAAACAGCTATGTGTTTGTTGAGGAGAAACAACCCCCACTCCACTACTTACATCAGCTCGTTACCCCTCCAGCACCAAAGGGTGGAGAGGTTTTTGTGGTTGTTTTGGGGTAAATATTCATGAGAAGGTACCCAATCCCAGATCTCTCCAGCCAGTTTTTTTCCATCTATTCCAGAAAGTTTGAGTCTTTTGAATGGGGGCTACCACCTATTTGTGTGCTGGGGATCAAGTGCAATAATCCTCAACCTCTACACAGGTAAGGGTCATTGGGCATGGCAGATATGCACAATGCGTGGCCATTTTTAGTCGGTGAATGAAAAACATTTAGATTTTACACAAAAGTTCTTCACGTACTTTTAATCAGTAGTATAAGTAAATAAGCTGGAACTATTTTATAATAAGTGTTACAGTACTGAGCAAAAGTCTGGAGCCACCCCTTATTTCTTTATACTTGACTTTTAAATGGCCAGACTTTCTTGTAGTTTTTAAAGGGGTCATGAATAACAGTTGAATAAGCATAAAAAGGAAGTTAACTCAAGGGATAAACCAGACAACTTAGCAAAGACCAATGTTAAAGTGTATCTTTAGGCACTTTGTTAGTAGCAGCCTGTCTCAAAGCACGTAATTTGTTTCCAATTGACAAAAAATACAGGAGATAAAATAGTTTTGTACTAACAAGGTGATTCCTAAAGAGCTATTAGCTGAAAACCTGGCATAGCTCAGCATGGTGTGCAGTGTGTCAGTAATACAATTTGAGATAACTG